CCCTACACGCCCTAGTAAAAAGTCCTTCCCAGCTCTCCTGTAGGCCCCCTTTAGGTACTGGAAGGCCGCAATAACATCTCCCCGGAGCCTTCTCTTCTCCAGGCTGAACAGCCCCAACTCTCTCAGCCTCTCCTCATAGAAGAGGTGCTCCAGCCCTCGGATCATTCTTGTGGCCCTCCTCTGGACACTCTCCAACAGGTCCATGTCTTTCTTATGTTGAGGACTCCAGAGCTGGATGCAGTACTCCAGGTGGGATCTCACGAGAGTGGAGTAGCGGGGCAGAATCACCTCCCTTGACCTGCTGGCCACACTTCTTTTGATGCAGCCCAGGATACGGTTGGCATCTTCCATCCAGCCAAGCTGTTGGGCGTAGATGCTCACAAGGCAGTGAAGTCTTGCTGGTTGCAGTAGGGTTAGTCCTTGTAGTCACATGCCAGAGTTTGGGGTGGATACTGGCACAGTTTCTTGTCTCAGTGGTCTTGCAGGCAGGGTGACAAGGTGCAGGTAAGAGATGGGACACTCAAGCTGGAAAAGCTACCTATGGGGTGAGGGCCAGCCTGGGTGATGTGGCCCTAGCTGCAAGGCTTCTCCAAGTGACGCAGCTTGTCAGTCAGTCTCTGATACACCGTTCAGCTGTGTCTGGCAGACCTGTGGTATCTTGGACTAGCTGTGGGGGCAGTGGGAAGTGGGACACAAGCTCACACTTCCATGTTCCATGCTGGAGACTGCCAGGTCTGGCAACAGCTTTGCTCTAGCGATGAGCGCAGGTGAACAGCTCTTCCAGCTGCTCCTCAGCCACGTGGCATTTCAGCAATGCACAGCAAAAGAATGTAGTGGCTTTGCCAGGCCTTGATCTCCATGTGAGACAGTCCAGGCAGCCGAGCAGCCCACAGCAGAAATCCCTGCTGGCAGAAGGGCCCTCAAACTCGGCAGCAGCCTGCGTAAAGCCAGGGAACGAGTTGTTCGTGGTTGGTGCAGGCCCCACATGGGCAGAAGTCACGAGAGCAGTGTAGCCGCACGGATGACGTCCAACAGACCTGCCCATCCTCAGAGACTTCCAGATATTCTAAGCCAGTAATTTCATACCGTGTTGCTGCTCTTGGGTAACAAGGGCTGGCTGTTACACAAGCCTCGTGCACAGCCGTGGAGTCCACAGGCTGGAATAGATTCCTCTTATCATGGAATCATAGAATCATAGAATAGTTTGGGTTGGCAGGGAGCTTTAAAGGTCATCTGGTCTTCCCAACACCCTCTGCAGCCTGGCCAGAGATGATCAGTGATCCCGACATGGCAGAAGGCCAGCTGCTCTTACAGGGTAACCCGGCAGCACCCCAAAGTACTGAAGCATAAAACTACATTGCCACCTTTCCCTGTCTTGGGTGTCCCCCTCCCCATTTGCAGGCACTACGGAAGGGCAAGGCAAAGGTACCCGGCAGCAGTCGGGCAGTGATGGAGAGTAGGCGAGCGCAGAGCAGTGCTGCCCATCGCTTCCCGGCTCTTGAAACATGTGAACTCCCTTTCCAAGAGTAGCAATGGCAGTAGCCAAAAGCTTGAACTTTGCTTCCAGAAGGAATCAGCTGTTGAGCTGAGCAAATCGTGATGCTGTGCAGGGTGGGTGGAAGGAGGGAGGGAGAGCCAAGCCTGACACGGGCCAGAGCGGGGAGCTGGGGCGGGGGGGGAGGAAGGGGGGGAAAGGCACTCACAAAGGCCTTGGAGGCAGGATGGAAAAGACAGTAATTACATAAAAGCACTTGGCGAGCATCTGGCTGGAGTCAGCTGGGCCCCGCCAGCCCTCCCTCCCTGCACTGCTCACCAGGAGCAGCTGAGGATACAGATAACCCAGCGCGGGACCCCTCCGGAGGGGAGCGGAGGTAAGAGGTCCTCCGCTTCCCTTCCCGGTTTGCGGTGCTTTTGGAGAGTAGGGGCAGAGGGGTAGGGGGAAAAAAGGGAAAAGGCAAAGCAGCTGTGGTGGAGGAGAAGCAGGCAGGAAGGGGAAGAGAAGGGGCTGCTCCTCTGCCTCTTCGTGCGGATGATACCTTTGCTCTGGAGGTTTTGGTGAGGGAGGAGCCGTGAAGGGCGAGCGTGTGGGTGTTTGTGGGTGGATGTGAGTCTGGGTGTACGTGTAGCAGGGCAGGGGATCCCCACGTGCAGCAGGGGAGTCAAGCTGTACTCAGGGGCTGGAAAGGGGAGAAAACATCAAAGTGATTTCCTTCCTTCTGTACCTGTGGTAGAGAGGGTTAATAGGATGGAGGCAGTCACTGGGGGAGAGCCAGGCAGTAACCTCCTTCTTTGCCTGTGTTGGGGGGGCGAGGGGCCTGGGGGGGTGGGCTGGGGGTGTTGCAGGGAAAGGGAGGAAATGTAGAAGGAGGAGGAAGCAGCTGTTTTTGAGCTGGGATTGTTGCAGTCTAATCTGGCCAGGGCTTCCCTGGGCTGCCTCCAAGGCAGAGTGTGTGATGAGGGACAGGGAAGATTGTTGAGCACACAAGGTGCCTTCAGGCTTGGGTTACACTTAAAAGCGTGGCTGGCACAGGGTTATTGGACAGCATTCTCAAAAATCCTATCTTTGAGCAGTCAGCCATACAAGCCAAAACCTCCTGCAAATGTGGCTTGGCTTCCCTGGCAAAATATTGCTGGTACAGCCAGTTCCCTCCAGGGAGCAAGGCAATATTACCCTGGCAGAAGTGTCTTTACTGGCATAAATTGCTGCCCAGCTGGGCAATGCCACCAGTGCAAGTCTTTGTTTGGTGGCTTCCTGCGGGTCCCTATTCAGCTCAGGGAAGACATTAAATGCATGGTCCTGCTCACTATGGGCTGTGAACTGTTCTTGCACTCAGATGAGACAAAGGCAAAGGCCCCTGCTGGTGAGGTCCTCCGTGAAGAACATTTGTTTGGTTGTGAGCGACTCGGGTTTACAGATGGAAATGTGGGACAGAAGCAAGGACGATGGCCTCCCTGCTCTCTGTTCCCCTTGGCAAGGTAGAGGGGGACAGACATTAGGCCAAGAGCTGCAAAAGCGGGTAATAATAAGCCAGGCAGGAAAACCTGAAGGAGCAAGGTACTGCGACAGCTTTGATGGGACAGAGAGGAACTTTGCCTTCAGTGTCAGTCTCTGAGTTTTCACGCACCCTAGAAAATTTATTGGCTTTTATTAGTACTGGCAGCTGCCGAAATCCTCACCAGCAGCAGGCAGGAGTAGACAACACAACAGAAAACCTGCTTCTGTCAGCTGGCAAGCCTCTATTAGCAAGAAGTGTTGCGCTAACCTTTCTCCTTCTCATTTTCCAAAAGGGGAAACAGGCACAGGCAGACGTGGGAGACTTGCAATGGGTCTCATTGCATGTCAGTGCTGGAGCCTGGCTAGGAACTCACGAGCACAGCAGCGAATTTCTTGGTCCTCTTCCCACCCCGGCTGGGAGGCATGTTCACTCCATGTTCATTGAGCTCCAGGCTGACAGGCAGCCTGAGAATATCTCCAGGCCTCCCAGCCCCCCTTCCTCCCTTCCCCCCAGCTTGCAGCACATATTTTCCCAGAGTTTTCCGCTTGCTTCTCTAGTGGTGCTGGGGTCCTGCCAAACGCCAGCCACTCTCTGGGAAGCGGGGCCTCTCATTCCCAAACCAAACAAATGGGAGAAGGAAAACAGAAAAAAAAAAAAAAAAAGGTCTAAGCACACGTCGACACACACAAAACCCTTTCCCCCTCAGAAACCTTGGAGCCTTCTCCAGCTTCTCTTGGAAATTGCAGGAGGCACAGTGCTGACTTGGCACTTCTGGCCTCTGCAGAAGACAGCTATTGCCCATCCTTCCTTCTGCCTCTCAAAGATACATACATGCACACACACACACACAGGGTATAAATTCCCAAATCCAGTTTTGCTGCAGAGTAGGATCCCCAAAATCCTCTTCCCAACAGATTCTGCAGTGTAAGAAAAGTCTCCTCTCCACACTTCGCACACACACACACCCCCACCCCCCACCCCCCCCCCTTGGTGCTTCCTCTCCCAAAATGCCCTTCATTCCTGGGTTCTGGTGCAGCCATGTAGTGCTCACCCCAACAGCACAAGCATGTCAGTTCGGCGCCAGGCTGGGGGCAAAGATCACAGCTGGGGTTTGCTCCAGATCCTCAGCTTTGCTGGCAGGCAGCTCCCCGCAGCCAGGCTGTGCTTCAGACCAGGCACAGCCCTCCTGTGTGAACTGCTCAGCCCGGGACCAAACCAGGGGAAGTGACCCGGGGATGACATGCGCTGGACCGCAAAGCTTGGGGCTCTGCCCAGGGAGAGGGGATGACCAGAGAGGGGAAAAAAAATGATGCCTCTCCCAGTTGGCAGATGAGCCTGCTAGAAAGATCATGCCTGGGGCGAGAAGCTGCAGTGACATGCAGAAGAAACAATGCAGGAGAGAATGAAAGATGAAGTTTGGGGACTCTGAGTGGGACAGGCACAGCTGGGGAGAGAGCATGGCCAGCCAAGTGAAGGGCTTATGCATGGGACAAGGGAGTGAGGGCAGAGTCCTGCACCATCCCACCTGAAGAAAAGACCATCTCTCGCACCCATGCGCCTCACCTTGCCCATCCCGAGATGCTCATGGTGGGGACAGTGCCCTGCTGCCCGCCTACCTTCTGCGCAGGGTGCAATCTGTGCTGCCTGCATTTTGCTGACCATGGCTGGGCTGTTTGGAAGTGAAAAGACAGAAGGGGAAAAAAAAACCCAAAACACAAAAACAAACCAGAACAAAACCCAAAGCATATATAAGGAAATGGAACTACCTAGGAAAGAGTTAAAAGGCGCTGAAACCCAAGCCGGTTTGCAATGGAGAGCGCCCAAAGCCAGGGAGGGAAAGGGAGGGAGAGGAGAGGGGAGGGAGCAGGTCCAAGCCCAGCTTGCGAAGCACCCAGCCAGCACTCAGCGATGCCTGTGCCAAGAGCCAGCTTTCTTAAAGCCATGGGCCCCGGGGGGGGACACGGCTTCGAAGGCGGAGGGGAGCCGTCGAGCAAGGGCTGGGAAGCACAGAGGGGAGCCCTCAGGCTCCTGGGGTGAGCTGCCACGGCTGCGCTGGGGTGCAGGCAGAGGGAAAAGGGGAGGGCATGGGGGCAGAGGCTGGGAGAGGGGCTTTCTCAAGCTTGTTTGCGTGTCTGTCTTTCGTAAGCGTACTTCTCTGGAGGCTGCCTGCCCTGCTCCGAGCTGCGCTGCCTTCAGCCTCTGCAGCGGAGCAGCTCTGCTCTGGTCAGTCGGTCGGCGGAGGCTTGGCACTGCCTACTGCTCTCGGAGGAGCCGGCCATCCCTTTGGGAAGGTGCTGGGGTTTGGCTGAGGACACAACTGAGCATTGGTGGGAGGGGGCTGAGGCACAGAGCGAGATGGGATTTGGTGTGGGGAAGGAGGGGGCTGAAGTTGAGTTCCCAGCCCACAGACTCTGGTCAGACTCTGGATGGGACAGGAGGGGTTGTTGGGTTAACTCCCATAAAGAGTTGATACCTTGTGTCTGGAGGACTGGAGAAGGTTTTTACAGCCCTCCCCACTGATTCAGCAGCCTACCGGCGCATGCTTTTGCTAAAGGAGTTGTGTGGTTTGCCATGTCTCCCTCCTTTATCCCGGCCTGGGGACTGAATCTTCTAGTGCCTCCAGTGGGTTGCCTAGTGAGGGTCAAGCCTTCTTCCAGGGTTAGCACTTAGTCTCCATTGGTCTGGGCAGAAGGGTGTGGGGCATCCTCTTGGGCCATGTGGTTGCTACTCAGATTGCAGCCTTGAACCTCAAAGGACTTCAAGCAAGTAAACTCCATCCACAGGACAATGCCATTTTGTCCCACCCCTTGGCTCCAGCCACAGAAAGATGTTTTTTGGTGATCTCTGCTCCATCCCCTGTGTCCTTCCCTTCTTATACCTCACTCTGGTGATTCTTCATGTCTTCCCAGGTCACCATGGAAATAATTTACCTGCGCACACCCCTGGCCTTCCTTCTTCTCCCTCTTGTTGTGCTTGGGGCACCCACTGATGAACCCAGCCTCACAGAACCAGCCCCTGGTGCTTGCAAGCGCTGTTGTGACCCACTGGACTCTTCCACAGATGCCCCACCGCTCCCTCCCAGCCACCACCACTTGCCCTACCCAATGCCGGAGGTCCGTCCCTATATCAACATCACCATACTGAAGGGTAAGTGCCCGTCTTGGTCCCAAGATGCCAAGGCCTGCTCAGGGACTGATGGCACTGCAGTGGAGGTGACAGCTGGGTTGCTGGCATTCTGGTTATGCTAACAGACTGCTAGGTGCCATCCTGAAGAGTACGTGCCCACACACACTGTGCCCGGGGTTTAGATGTTGTGTGCTGTGATCAAGAGTAGCCTGGGGGGAGGGAGGTCAGTGCATATCCCTGCTGTGACCTCGGTGTCTCAGGATGCTGCCTGCTACCAGCTCTTCCTCCCTGCGCGCACAGGAATGGCAGCCTCTTGCCAAGCTGGGAGGACACCTTCCTTGCCTCAGACTTCTAGAGTCCTGTAGTGCCTGAGGGAAGGAGCAGACTCCATCCAACTGCAAAATAAGCATGTTTGGGGGCTAGGCATTGGCACCTGGGAAGGCTGTGGGGAAACCTTCTCCAGCTCCATGGGTCACATATATTTTGGAGCGGGAGGAGGGCAAGGGGAGGCAGCAGCTATTTGCAAGTACCTCCAGGCCAACTGGCAGTGACCCCCAGCTCATTCCACCCTGCAGTGGCTGGCTTGGTTAACGGGAAAAGGTTCCCTATTTTAGATCAGCTCCTCCCTTCAAGGCTCCCCTTTTAGCCTTTGCTGTGGGCAAAAGCCTGTTCCCAGCTGGATACTGCTCCACTCACTTATTGTTGCTCTGTGGTTCCTCTGGGCTAGCTGGGCAGATGTTGCCCCTTCCCTGCCCAGCCTGGAAATAGCTGCAATCCATCAAAGCTCAGAAGTGTGTCTGGGGCAGAGAGAGGCCTGGCGCAGAGTGGGGTGTTGCAGGGGGACCTGCAATACCGAGCAGGGGATGGAGAGGAGGAAAAGAACAAGGCACAAATTTGGGATGCTGTCACTTGTGCTGGAGGCTGTTCTGACCCCCATCTCTTCTTTCTATACACAAAGTACATTCCGGTGTCCATCTGTATTGATGCCTGCCCAAGTGTGTGACAGGCAATGCACAAAGCCCAGGGCAGAACTGCACTGTTAATTATATAGGATGCCCAAAGGATGCCGATATGGTCAAAGTATCAGCCCTCTAACTTGCACTGCACCATCCACCAAGACTATCTTGGATTTTTTCCCTTTGACTGCACCTCATTGTCCCTCTCTAGTCATATTCTTCAGCCCCATCTCCAGCCTACAGCAAGAACAGTGTTCACACTGTGTGGATAACTGGGTCATGGGAGAGAGGAGGGCAGGGGCTATGGTGAAAGTAAAGGAGTGTGGAGAAGGAAAAAGAGGTCAAGAACCTCAGTGGTACTGGGTGGTGCTGGGCTCCATCTCAGGGTGAAATCTTCTAGTGCCTCCAGCAGGGCCATGTGATGTGGTGAGCAAGGGGTGTGTAAGAGAAGAGACCCCAGTTGCACCCAGCTAGTTCGCTTCCCATGAAACATAATGATATTGTGACCCTCAGGAGTGTTCATCCTTAAACAATCCTCTGCCTCCTCGTTAGGCTTTCTCACCACCACTTCCACCTCTCCCTCTGGTATCACACAGGAGTTGTGTCTTCTGCTTCATCTTGTAGGAGAGAAAGGAGACCGGGGAGAGCCTGGGATGCCAGGGAAATGGGGCAAAGAAGGACCACGAGGCGAGCGGGGTGCCCAGGGCCAGAAAGGCAGTAAAGGACAGATGGGCACAGCGGGAGACCCCTGCAAACATCAGTATGCTGCATTCTCCGTTGGTCGCAAGAAAGCTCTGCACAGCAGCGAGGGCTTCCAGGTCTTGATCTTCGACACTGTCTTTGTCAACCTCTACAGCCACTTCGACATGTTTAATGGCAAATTCTACTGCTATGTAGGTGGACTTTACTATTTCAGCCTCAACGTCCACACCTGGAACTTCAAGGAGACCTACATGCACATCATGCACAATGAAGAAGAAGCAGTCATCTTGTATGCCCAACCCAGCGACCGCAGCATCATGCAGAGCCAGAGCCTCATGCTGGAGCTTCAGGAAAATGATGAGATCTGGGTGAGGCTCTACAAGCGGGAGCGGGAGAATGCCATTTACAGTGATGATGTTGATGTGTACATCACCTTCAATGGGTACCTGGTCAAACCCAGCCTTGATTAACTGCCTCTCCTCCTCCTTGAGGCGTCTTTAGCCTTTTCCTTGTTCCTCTCTCTCTTTTCTGCCCGCAACCACTGCAAATCACTTGGAAATGGGCCTGTCAAGTCTCAGGCACTGAGTGTGAAACTTGCCGCACTGGCTCCCACCTCACGCTCTCTTGTAGCCAGGCCTGTATCTGTCCACTTAAAGCGTGACACAACCATCTCTCGCCCCCTCACATTATGACCCCAACTTAGTTTATTGGCTGCTTCTAAATCTGCCAGCAACCTGTGTCTGGCATTTAGGGTCCTAGAGCAGGAGGAAGGCTAAAATGCTGCTCCTGGGGAATGTGTCCCTCCTTGGGACTTCATACACAAAGGACTCCCATAGAAAGGGCTAGAAAGTTCCCACTGTCCAGGTGCATCTTGGCTCCTCTCCATACCGACTAGAGAGGCCAATTTTGCAGCCTGAAACATGGCCTTAATATCACCTGTGACACCTGTATTTTGGAGAGCAGACCGGTGTCTGATGGCCTCCTGTAGCACAAGGAAGATGTAGGAGCAGTGAGAGACAACACTGTTTTTCCAAAAAGGGAACTGTTGGCCTTCTGAATGTGATTGGCATTCCTTAGACACTCTTCTGGGTCACAGAGTCCAGGTTGGCTATAAAATCTAGGCCTGGTGGGATTGTCCTCCTCAGTGCCAACTCTAGTTCTTCTGAGAGATTAAGGCCCAGACACTCAGCCAGATCCTTCAGAGGTATCTGCCATTGAATTAGTAGACCCCACTGCTCTGTTCCCGCTAGGGAGAGAGAGATAACCTACCTAGAGAGAGATAGATAACCTACGCTAGAGAGAGATAACCCTACCAACCTCCCTCCCAAACCTCCCCTGGGGTGCTACTCAGTCTCGGTTCCCCAGCTGTGGGAAGCTAGTCTGAACAGTGAACCTGAATCTGCTCTCTTCTTTGGCAGAGGTGCACTCATGCCCTTCTGTTGGTATCAGAAATCATCGCTAACACTTGCTTATGTGAGGGGAGAGTCAGGGCTGGGCCCTGGCTCCTGTGTGGTATTATGTTGGTCCTCCTGAAGGTGGCTCTCCCACGCTGGAATTGAGGGTCTGCTATTTCAGGACCTGACCTGCAGGCCGTAAGGGCAATTGCAGTTAAATCAGTTCCAAACCTGGGCAGGTTGGCACCTCTTTGCCTGTGATGGAAAACAGATAGAGGTGAGACTATAACACCTCACCCCAGGGTTAAAAGCTTCCCTGCCACATGCTCTGTGCCCTTTTCTGGCAATCTCATCAGAGCAACTGAGGAAAGCACGTGGCTAAAACAAACCCTCGCTCATCTTGTCAGGTTGGAGATGTCGCAGTGGGAAAGGAATGCCAGCAGTAGGATTTTCTAGTACCATTTGTACTGGTCTCACACTGCTCTCACTCACACCCCTCTGGGATTGCTACAGTCCTGGGGAGAGCAGATGAGGCTGACTCAGCACTTTGGGAAACCTACTTCCACATGCTGTGGTGCTCCCGTAAACAGCAGTGCCAAGAGTCGTCTGTTTTTTGAGTCTCAGGACAGGACAAGCAGGAGAAACTGTATTTCTCCTCTGCCCATCACTGTTAATGAAGTCTTCTGACTTATCTAGTTTCTGCGGTCTCATGATTAGCCATGGTCTCTGCCTGTAACACCTGGGACTACCAGAGCTCTCCCATAGGAGACACACATCATTATACAGGACTGGGTCCGGTACACTCAGCCCAGGATTGCAAAGGCACAGGGACCCAGGCTAAATATTAAAAATGAACTTGAGAGAATTGCAGGACATTTTCTCTCTTGCCCTGTTTACTTAGCCTCCCTGCTTTGCTAAGGAAGCTGCACAGACTAGAATGAGTTTCAGGCACTTTCTGCCCTCAATCCTCCCCACAGCTGTCATTGAAGCAATGGGTATAAAAACAAAGTTTCACTAAGGCAAAGCTGGGTTTTTCCCAGGGAAACATGTGATGATGGGATCATGGGAACTAAGGGAGACTGAGTTTCTTCCCCTCCCTTAGCACGTCACGCATGTGGAATTGCTCAGAGACAGGATTTCAGGCAGTAGAAAGGAAGCAGCATGCTGGAGGTGATGCTCAGGACCGAATCCCATTGTCTTTTTCTCAACAAGCTGCAAACCCAGATATTATCTATTTACAGTGTATAGTGCCCCTGTGTCTCCCTGAAGAGAAGCAAGCCTCTCTAACACTGAATATCTCCAGAAACAAGCTTCCTTCTTCCTCCTTTTTTATTTGGTGTTTGAATGCCGGTGGTAGGCCTCATGTGCTTACCCATGAGCAGCCAGATGCACACGAGAGAGGAGGTCAGGGGGACCAAAGGGTGTGTTTAACAGGCTTCTTGGTGCTAAACAAGTGGCAATCCCTTGGTGCTAAATCAGATTTCAGGAGTATTGGGTGCTTTCTGGAAGGTGTAGTAGGCTGAGTTGTAATGTACTGTGGAATTAATGGTGCTTTATGTTAAAAAAACAAACTCCAAGAACTTTTGTGTATATATACATATTTTTTTCAGTGGTATTAAACTTTTTTCCCTGGTTGTTTTGCACTTAGATCTGCTTTTCCCTCCCAGCCTACTCCTTCTAGCTCGGGTTATCATCGAATAATGTGATGGAAAAGACACTGACCTGAGAGAGACAGGTACAAAGTCTAAATCAGCTCTGAAACTTCCCTGGGCAATCCACGGCAATCTTCTGTCTGTTTCCTTTGTGGAGAACCATTACCTTAAAAATCTTTGCTGCTTGAACACTTCTAATGACAACCCTCTCCTCTTTGCTGGGAAAGCTTTAGGCAAATTCAACGAAGGATTCTTTGGAAATTACCCCAAAAAACCCAGGACAAAGTTACCCAGGACAGTAGAATGGGATTAGGCTTCAAGTACCTTATTAATTATACTGAGGAAGGCTGGGCTGATGCTGGAGTTCTCTTAAGGGGGATCAGACACTTTATCTTGTGAAATTTTTAGCACATCCTTCTATCAAGTACTTAGTAAGCATGTGTGTTTTCTGTTTTCCCTGTGGCGTTTCTCTTTTCTCTGCCAAGAGGTGAAAGCCAGGAAGTACAGATGTAAGAGGGACATTAAACTGTCGACTAGGCACTTGTGCTTGCTAACAATGGGGTGAGATGCAGTTCCAGCGTTAAGCTGGACACACATTTTTGGAAGATCTGTGTGTGATGAGAAAGGCTTGAGGTTCAATTCAGAGGTGGAAAGACAGGTGGCAATTGCCTGTAAAGCTGGGGAAAATGGGGAGACATGACGGGGGACTGGAGACTTAGAGGCTTAAGAGGAAGATCTAGGAGGGGTAGAGTCCTAAGGACAGGGAGATGCCTTTTGGAGGTCTCAGTGCAGGTCAAAGAGGTAAGTAGGGTTTTGTTTAGCATCTTTGGGGTTTGGGCAGCAGGAGACTCCTGCTGAAGTGGAGGAATGGGCAAGAAAACAAGAGGAGATGCCCATATAGGACCTTCTGTTTTGAGTTTAATTCATCTTCACATAACTTCTCCTGCGGTTTGAAATGTACCAGATGCTTCGTTTGGCAAGGGGTGGAAAACATAATCATACGCATCCTTACAGGCCTCTTTGGTCCTGTGTCAGGCACAGATCTAGGTCTATATATATCCTAGTAAATGTAATACTCTGTCAGGTTGGAGCTCAACCTTCTTCGCATCTTTTATTTACTTCTGAGGAAGCAGAAAGATATGTGTCCTCAGGAAGTGCAGGGGTTGCGCTTGTGCATGTTCTTGGCCCCTTGAGGTGAGATGCTGGTAGATTGGAGGTGACTTTGTCACAGTTACAAAAGGTGAGGAGTGAGGGAGGAGCAGAAATGTGTAGCCAGACCTTCTAGAAAAGTTTTCTGTGATTCAATCCTTCAGCCTGCCCACTTGCACAGGAACGTGCCACCTGAAGCGTCTTTTCAGCCAAATCTCTTGGGCCTAAGACGCATGGTCACAGGCGGGGTCTGTAGCAGGTGCCACCTGTCAAACAATGGATGCCCAGCTGGGGAGCTGCTGTAGGTGAGGGTCAGCTCAGGTAAGGTGAACCCTACAATGCTGTTGAAGGAACAAGGGCTAGACTGGGTCAGACCAGCCCTGCTGGCCTGCCACTGGGTGCAGCCATGCCCTGAAGGCCACGACACTTCCATTCACTTCATTCACCCCAGGGCTGGGTCCTTTTCCATGCAATGGGGCTGCTGTGTGGTATGTGAGCCTGGGGTTGGTGGCAGCCAGCACCTCTCTCCCAGGCAAAGCAAGAAGCGTGCCTTGGGGTGGGCAGCTATAGCACTACCCCTGGGGCCATGCCTCTCTTTTCCCCTGAAAGACAGGTCCAAGCTCTTCTGCAAAGGGCTCTGTGGCCACATCTCAAGCTTGTTCAAGGTATGTGCCAAGGGGTTGGCCCTTTAAACTGGCTTCCTGCAGGTTTGTGGTCTTGCAGGTATGAAAGGGGGGGAAGGGAAAGGGGGGGAGTGGGAAAGAGGAGGTAAAAGACAGGTTATGGTGCTTTTTCTGGGGGAGAAAGTGCATGTCAGGGCCAGCTCAAGAGAAGCTGAGGGCCCTGAAATAGCTCCTTGCACTGTGCTAGTTGTGGGAAAGGGGAAGAGAGGAGCAGGGCAAGAAAAGGAATATAAAAGGAGATCTTTGACCCTACTGGCAGCACTCAGATGGGCACAGGTGGATACGCCTGCACCCAAAGCACCAGGGAGAGCAGGAGCACAGCATAGCAGGACCTGGCTCTGCACGTCCTCTGACCCTCTGTCACAAGTGGGGCAGCCATGGGAAAGGTCTCTAGCAGCACCTCGAGCCTCGCCCCAGCTGCCAGCCATGGTTCAGGGTCTGCCCCACATCAGGGATTAGTGCACCATTCAGGGGGCCACTGCATCGTAGCATAGCAGGTTTCCCCTCTGCTCCAGTCTTCTGTGCCCTCCTCCCCTCCCAAACCACCCAGTCAACCTGCTTCACTCACACCTCAGCCTTTTTTGTCTCCCAG